CTCTGAGGTACTCTAAGATCTTTGCTCTGGTAGAAGCTTTTCCCATATTTTTCACATCAATAGGGTTTCTCCCCTGAATGACGGCACTGATGTACTTTGAAAGCTGACGGATCACTGAAACAGTAACCACATTCTTTGCATGTATCAGGTATTTCCCCTCAGTGAATTTGTTGATGTATGGCGAGGTTTGAACAGCAGCCAAACTGTTTGCCACATATTTTCTATTGATAGGATTTCTCCCTTAAATGAAGGCCCGGATGTTCTTTCAAAGTTGAGGGAGCAGTGAAACATTTCCCACATTCATCGCATGAATACAGTTTTTCTCCTGAGTGAATTCGTTGGTGCACTACAAGGTTGGACTTCCGGGAAAACATTTTCCCACATTCTTCACAGAGAAAGGGTTTCTCTCCTGTATGAATTCGTTGATGTTCTCTAAGACTTGACAGCCACATGAAGGCTGTTCCACATTCATGACATTTGTACCGTCTCTCAGTGTGCACTCTCTGATGTTGCTTAAGTCCAGAACTTCCCTTGAAGCTCTTGCCACATTCTTCACATTTATACAATCTTCCTTCTGAGTCCACAGGCTGAGTGACTTGAAGAGCTGAGCTAACACTGAAGCATTTTTCAGACCCTGAGTCTTCATAAGGTTTCTCTCCTGTGGGAAATCCTGGATCTTCTGGGCTCCTTCTGGAACTCTCTCCATGCTCCATACAGTGACACAGACTTTCCTCTGAGTGGCATGTTGGACCTTTCGCTGGGCTTTTCCTCAGAGGGCTCCTTAACCCAGACTCTGAGTTCTGAAGGACATTGAGGCATCTGTTTCTTGTCTTTTCCTCTGCTTCTTGACAGACAACTCCTCTCAGATAAGTGTGAGGTTTGTTTTTCCTCTCATTTGCCTCATTTTCCTTCTGCCTTCGTGATTCATCTCTGATCCCACAGTTGTCGTTTTCATCCTCCACTCTTTCTGGGGATGTCCTGTGGAGTCTTCCTTCCTCCTCCTGTGCATCATCTGCTGGAAGAAGGAGAGAATTCATGGTAGGAAAATACCTATCAATACGCCAATTTCCTCTTGTTCCCTTTCTCTGCTAAGAAAAAAGTAGATCGTAATCATTTGTAACCTGCGTTTCCAGCTTCTTAACCAAGAGAAGTCAAAGGATTTAAAGGAATCAGATTTCCAATCTTAGTGCTAAAAGTTTTAGGTG